TTTGGGCTACCATGGCAGAATTACTTCCATAGGAGACCCTATGGCCACCCTTTACATGAAAAGGTTGCTTACCCCCAGTTCAGAGCATCCCTTCCTTAGGAGAATGACCTTTTAAAATGCTACACACTCTATTAAAGATAGCTAGATACACAAGATATTGTAGCTGAATTTTTGTTTTGTTTGTTAAACAAACTTCTGTTCAAGTGTCCATATGCCAGTTTCTGCCTGTCTTTAAGAATGTATAAAACAAAATATATTGTCCAAATATCTATTCTGGGTTTTTAAAAAACTATATAGTATTCCTTTTTTTCACCTGAGTTTTTCCTGCACTCCTGTTTTGGCTGGTTTAAGTTTCTTCACTATAATGGTGTTACAATGGGAATGAAGATGTGACTCAGACGCACCTGGGCAGAAACAAATTGCTACAGAGCATTGCTGGGTTGTCATTAGACACATAGCAGACCCACAATAAGAAAGACAAATTCATTCCAGAAACAACCAAAGTGTCCATCGATGGATGAATGGATAAAGAAAAGGTGGCTTATACATACAATGGAATATTATTCAACCATAAAAGAGAATGGAATTTTGCCATTTGTGACAACATGGATGGACCTCAAGGGCATTATCATCAGTGAAATAAGCCAGGCAGAGCAAGAAGACATGTGGAAAATATATATATAAAGTTGAACTCAAATACTGAGAATAGACTGGTGATCACCAGGAGGAGGGGGTTGAGGGTGGGCAAAATGGATGAAGGGGGTTTAAAAGTGCAAACTTCCAATTATAAAATAAATGAGTTACGGGATGTAACATACAGCAGGGTGACCAAAGTTAATACTGTATTGCATATTTGAAAGTTGCTAAGAAAGCATCTTAAAAGTTCCCATCACAAGAAAAAAATGTTTGTAACTGTGGGATGGTGGATGTTAACTGGACTTAGTGTGGTGGTGATTTTGCATTATATACAAACACCAAATTGTTATGTTGCATACCTGAAACTAATATGATGTTATTTGTCAGTTATACCTTAGTAAAAAATTTCTTTTTATGATTCCTCTTTATTAATCTTTTATCATTTGGAGACTTGAGTCTGTTCTTTGCTGATTATTGAGTGTGGGCCAGTGTGCATTCACAGCAGAAGTTGGTCTGGTGGTTAAGGGTGAGGCAAGCTGTACTCACACTCATGCTTCCCCACCAGTTACTGGGTATCCGCCCCCAGTCCCCCCAAGCTCTTGTTGTTAGTGCTGTGTTCTTCAACATTTGTTCTGTTCTTGCCTTTCGAATGGACCTGCTGGTGGTGAAAAGGAATATCTTTCAAGGTCACATATCCGTAGGGTAAATCAGTGGTTAAGATTTTTCATTCCATTAGTAATAAATTCTCAGTAGAAGTTATAAGCTCTGGGAAATCTGCCTCCAAAGCTGATCAGTGTTGTTTGAGACACCAGAGAAAGGGAGCTCTTTTTATCTCCACAGGAAACATGTAACTTATACACCTTTTAGGCCTAGTGAGACCTCTAACTTGAGAGGAATCGGGGAAAGCATCATTTGGTATCCTGCTGATGGCATAATGTCTAAGAAACCATAGCTTAGATTTAACCTGGTAATCACAGAGGGTTATGTATCTTTAAAAGTAAAATGTGTATTCAATGCTTCACCCAGTGCTTTGAGACACTTAACAAAATTCAGGTAAGCCCAGATTTTCATTTTCAGGAGTCAGATTTATACCTAGCTTATTCTTATGCATTCAACATTTTCATAGTCCAACTTGGCATGTAGAGTCCAAACTGCAGTTGCATCACTTAGCCTGTTCAGAGTGAGGTCTCTCATCACCCACACTGGGGACAGTACTGGAGTTAGGGTGAGGCAAGAGAGGCACTCAGGATGCAGAAGTTAAGGAGGCGCTCACTCATGGTGCCAACCCTGTACTTATATTACCTGGAGGATGAGCGCCTCCTTAAATTCCTCATCCTAAGAGCTTTTCTGGCCTGACCCTAGTCTTGATCTGATCAAGGGTCCCTATAGGGTATTTTTTAAAAGATTTTATTTATTTATTGAGCCCAGGGATCTGCATTTTGACCTCTTAGGACTTTGAATGCACGAAGCTAGAGGACCTTCTGGGCCTGGTTGACCAACTGAAGGCCCAGCAGAACAAAAGCTGCTCCACAAGCTTCAGGTGGTGACTGGGACAATCGCTGAAAAAATCTGCTAATTAACCGGCACACAGGAGCAAGTAGGCCAGCCAGACCTCACGGCCTGCCAGCCCTGGCCATGTGCAACTGCTACCAGGTGTCCCGCTGGAAGGCTTGGAGCACTTAAAATCAAAGCTAAATGTGATTGATTATATAATTTTGAACTGTTCCAATTTTTTTAATTAAAAATGTTTTATAGGTTCATTATTAGCTACATGTTCATTGTACACAAAACTTTTTTAAAAATAATTTTAAAAAAAGAATAAAATAGAAACTATTCATAACCCTATTACCCAGCAATAGCCATTATTAACATTTGAAGGTATGCTTTCAGCCCTTTTTTCACTGATTGAGTCAATTCCACTAAAACTCATGGGGTGTTAGGAGGAATGAGTGACAAAAGGCATGTTGGTATCAGGAAATCTGTCTTATGAACTCATTCCCATTTGAGTCTTATCTAGTTTTCTTTGCTGTCTATTTAGTATAAGCCTCCCCTTTCAACATTAATCTCAGCATTAAAAAGAATTCACACATCCAGATGTATGCATGAGTTTCCCACCTTTGCAAAAATAGTGGAAATAGTGCCCCTGCACGGGGATGTCTCCATTAGGCTGTTTTTCCAGGTCCCTTCTTGTGACTCTAATGGAATTCCTTTGGAACCCCTGAGGACTGGTTCCAGTGGGGGAGACATAATCATTCAACAGCTTTTGCCATGTGTCCCACGCAGGTGAGGCTCTGCTAGGGGTCAGAGGTATGTCCAGTAAGACGTGGTTCCTGCCCTGAGAACAGACAGTCTGGTGGAGGAGGTGGACCAGGATGTTGCATGAGTGTCGGGGGCTCTGAAGTGCTGTGGGACTGGGAAGCATGGGGATCAACCCCCTTGTCTTTGGAGAGTGGAGAGTGGCCCGGAAAAGGAGCTGACACTTGCATTGAGTCCAGAGATGCCCACCGTATGGCGCCTGCAGTCTCCAGCAAATAGCACTCTCTTAAAGTTCCACTTTTTTGTGTGTTATGTCCTACTTTCCAGTTCAATCACACAGTTGCCCATTATAATTAAATGAAGCTTGCCAGATGGATGCCTTCGCAAGACGATGGCTCGTTTTCTTGCTCTATTTGTGAAAGCTGGCATTGGGTCCAAACTCTCAAGGATGGCTCTACCTTGAGATTGCTTTGGAGTGTCACTCTTTCCGTATGTATTAGCCAAATGGCCAACCCATCAGCGGAGCCAGGTTGAGTGACAGGTGGGTGTGCCATGCATGTGGACACTCTGATCTCTGCCAAGCTGTTTTGCCTGTAAGGAGGTGAGGTGCTGAGAGGTTGTTCTACAAAGATGTCATTTATCAATGTTACCTTCCTTTGAGAAAATAAGCTTCTTCAGCTTTTAATCTGTCGGTCTTTCCTTCTCCCCACATATACTTTTCCTATCAGCTGCAATATAATTGTTGTCAAATTCCCAGTTTATCATATTAAAACATACACACGTTTTCACACGGTCTTAAAGAAGCAATTTTTAGTTTATGGAAGAGAATATTTAGAGTAGTAAATATAGTGAACTTAATTGGTAGCAGACTTGATTAACCAAGGAGTATTGGCACTGCACAGGAGAGACTAACTGAGTCATTAACAGTCGTTTCATTTCTACGAATCGTTCTTAGTGTTTCATTCGTTTCTGTGACTCATGCTCATGCTCCATCATTTAATTCTCACAACATCCCCATGAAACGGGTACTGTCACTGATCTCATTTTACGTGTGAGGAGATTGACGAAGGGTGCAGAACCGATGAGGGCTGGTGCCCCATGTGTGGTCTGTCCACCACGCATGTGGCCTCCGTGTCCTGGGCCCGGGCTGGGCCCTCGATGTTGCACCAAGGATTCTGGGTGAACCCATCACCATTCAGTTTATATTACTCCCTCTCAAAGGATTAAAAGTCCTTCAAATATGTTACTAACAGGACAAGTGAACATAACTTCATTTCCTTCCACTTTTGAAATAATCTCAGGAATTTTCAGTACTTAGGGCAACCTTGATTGAATATCCTTTGATTATTGTAGTTACACAGAAATGTCAAATTAGAGCCTTCCTGCTGATATAATTTACTTTTTTGGTGATTGTACTCAGGTTTAGATAATATGTATGAATAAAACTCTTAGGCTGGTTTCCTCTTCTAATTTTCTGTCTATACTTTGCATTTGAAATAAAAATTGGGAGTTAAAAGCCCATATTGTATTTTGCTCTTATGTTTTGGGTTTTCTGTGAATAGGGTGATTCAGCTATTTATCTGTACCACTTTTCATCTCCCCTTCCCCCCCAAAAAAAAAACTCAGAGAGGGAATTCTTGACAGGGCCTCTTTCTTACTGTGTTCATCTATTCCAGTCCCCACAATAACCTGAAATCCTGATGGCAGGAGTCCTTGCAACAGAATTTTCACCTTTAAAATAATCTGGAGTGCTGATGTCTTGATTAAAGCAGTCTTTCCGACTCCCGCTCACTGAAAACAGAAACCCCACCAGGTGACCCTGTGCTCTCTGCTCCCGCCGTCCCCGGAACAGGGAGTTCCGGGGGACCCCCACATCTGCAGAGTGGACAGCCGGTGCAGCGGCTGGGCAGCTCCAACTTCCAGCCTTTCCTGGCCTGACCCTCACAACCCCCCCTGTACCTTCCACTCTGGGTTCAGATTGTCCCCTTGAATAACTTGTTCCCTCTGGGTCTTCTTCAGCCTCGAGAAGGTTCTAAGGACACGAGTGGAGTGAATCTCGGTGAGACTCCCCAGCAGTCTGACATGTGGCTACTTTCCTCTTGTTGCAGCAAAACCAGAAATCTTGACTCTGGAGGGGCTGGTGAACGGCATGCTCCAGTGCGTGGCGGCAGGGTTCCCGGAGCCCACCATAGATTGGTATTTTTGCCCAGGATCTGAGCAGAGGTGAGATGATTCGGTTACCACTTAACATGCAGAAGGGAAGGACTGCAATACAGCTGGATTTCAACTGTGTTTTCAGACTTTTTTTCCCCCAAAGCTTTGTTTTGATTATTACGTTTTTTCTGTCCACGTGGATTTTGAGGCAGCATAATTGCTATATTTTTCTTGGTAGACATTAATTTTGTTTGCTGAAAAATGATTACTGAGATGACTTCTCTGTTTTGGTGGTTATCTTTTTGGATTTATCATGCAATTTCTAGCCCGAAGGTAGATAAAGCAATTTTCCGGGGCAAAGTAATTAGATTTCCATTCTGTACACAGGAGGTAATGTGTGTGGGAAACGTGGCTGTAGTTATCACAAAAAATATTACCTCAGAAGTTAATTGCCAAGTTACCAAAAAGTAATGACCGTGCAGTTGCGGCGCGCATCTGCTGTTTGTAAGCTCTGTATTTTAAGACAGTTTCCTCCTTGATTAGGTGCCCAGCCCCTGTGCAGTGCGCATCTGGCGTTGTGCTTCCTCTCCCCGAGCATCCACACTTAAGCCTTAAATTGTCCTTTCATATTACCTGAAGATGAAAACAGGGTCAGCGTTGCCGTTTTTATCCATCAAATGGTATTTTATGCTCAGGCTTTAACAGCCCAGTGTAACATCACAATGGAATAGTCAGGATAAAAATAGAAATTTTATTTTTCATTGAATAGACCTTTTTATCTCCACAAGTTGGAAGAGGTTACGTAGGATTGTTGTTTTCAGCTGAGTGTTAGTAGAGTGTTTTGGGGGGGGAATAATAGGGGTGATTCAAGACCCCTGGCAGGTCTGTTCACAGTGGAAGCCACCCGGTAATTACAGTCAGCCATTCGACAAATGTTGATGGAGCGCCAACTGTATGCCAGACACAGGTCTAGTAAATGAAACACACCTGAGTCCCAGCTTCGTCAGTTCATATTCTAATGGGTACAGAGGGACAAAAGATGAAATACACAACCAGTGTAGGCAGGTGTTAAGTGCTAAGGAGAAAAACAGAGCAAGGTAAGAACAGAAGACTACTAGGCACACGGGGATGGGATGGGAGGGGTAATTTAAATAGAGTCATCAGGGTCTGGCTCTACATGGTATTTGCCACCTGGACCACGCCCTGGCAGGACAACCTGTAGCTTCCTCCAGGGAACCTCCAGTTGTGGGGTCCTCACTGCTGGGGTCTTAGGGGTCGCTGTGGTCATCCTTGTTGAGACAATGCTTTCTTCCCCCATGCTTTTCCTTTTCAACCCTTCGTACATCCTTTCACTATTAGTTTATCTAAGGATATTTAAGTCATTCCTAACCTTTTCACTTTCCAAGATGGGTCATCCTATCCCAATTTTACAGCTGTGGGAGGAACGGTGGGAACTTGGAGATTTTGAACTGGCCTGTCAGAAGTCAACAGGACAGGTGTTTGAGTCAGGATTCAAACCCACACCTCCCTCTAAAGGCACACCTCCGTCTTCTCTCCCACGGTGCTTTTCTGCTCCCCGGACCACAGAAGTGATCCTTTTTCATCAGGTGTTCTTGTTTGCGAAGGGAAATGTCCAATTACGAACCCGGGCGTTGGAGGGATGGATTTTCCTGAAGTAAGTCTGGGCTGTCGTTTGCTTTCCCCCTAGGTGTTCTGTTCCCGTCGGGCCAGTGGATGTGCAGATACAGAACTCCTCTGTGTTGCCATTTGGAAAGCTAGTGGTTCAAAGTTCCATCGACTACAGTGCATTCAAGCTCAATGGCACGGTCGAGTGTAGGGCTTACAATGATGTGGGCAAGAGTTCTGCCTTTTTAAACTTTGCATTTAAAGGTAACAGCAAAGGTATATTTCTTTTTAATCCAATTTAAGGGGATGCTTAGGCTCTGCTTCCATTATCAGTCATGATTTTAAGTCCATCCCATCACTGACCATGTCGTTTCTGGTAATAATCTACATTGCACTGTACCATCATCAAACTCACTTCCATTCTCTACTGGTCTGTTAATAAAATGTATGTAGTGATTTTAACTGTATGCTATATATATTTTATACGTGTGTGTCCACATATGTCTGTATGTATGCATTCACACATATATATGTAATGAATTGTGTATTTCCAATTGTTTTTATTAAAAAGGAGTAGAGAAGGAAAATAGGGGGTTATGTTTACCTTATATCTAAACAGAAACAGAATTAGGGAAATATAAAAATTTAAATTCCACTTAAAGTCAGTTATGTCAACACATTGCCAGACTCTATATCAGAAAATCGACACTGCTTTTTATGAAGTTGTGTTCGTGAGCTATTTCTTCAACATCTTTAAAACTTGATTCATGAGTGACTAGCTCTCCTCACAGAAGTTGAACGACCCTTGTGGAAGCATTGATGAATTGGTGTGACATTACGAGACAAAGAGCTGAGTGCCCACATTCTCAGGGCTCCGTTTTTGTTTTTCCCGAGTTGGCAGAGACGAGTGCCAAAAGTGGGGTGTTCTCAGTTTTTGAGTAATGAGGGGAAGAATCTTACATTGTTCTGCATCATAGATTTTTTCCAGACGGGGCAATAAAAAGAACACTTTAAAAAATGTTTTTCGCAGTTGTAGAAGAGATTCATCCTCCATGGAAAAAAATTAGGAAAGTACAGGAAAGCAAAGAGGAGAAAATAGAAATCATCCATAAAGAAAATTTCTTAAAAGTTGTCGAAGGAAGGGATTTGGTTGAAGTGTTAAGTTCATTCAGATGTTGCTTTTCATTGACAAACGGCATAAAATTACTTTTGTGCTGTGGACATCTCATGCTCTCTTCCATAGGGTCTGCGTCAAAGTTATTTTCAAAGATTCCTTTGCATAACAAGACTAAGGTCATAACCAAGGCACACAGCTGCGGTGCGCGTGGCTGTGAACGCTGCTGTGGGCTGTGAGGTGGGAGATGGGCGGTCTGGGGTTTGGTGGTTACAGCGAAGACCCCGTCCTGCTGATAGGTCGTGACTCCATGTTCCTCTTTCGTTTCAGAACAAATCCATTCCCACACCCTCTTCACACCTTTGCTGATTGGTTTTGTGATTGCCGCCGGTATGATGTGCATTATTGTGATGATTCTTACCTACAAATATTTACAGGTAACCATTTATTTGTTCTCTGCTCTGAGCACTCTCATGATTGAAACATTGATCATTAAAAGGTAATATGTCTTTCCCTTTCTCCCCCCACCAGAAACCCATGTACGAAGTGCAGTGGAAGGTTGTCGAGGAGATAAATGGGAACAATTATGTTTACATAGACCCAACGCAACTTCCTTATGATCACAAATGGGAGTTTCCCAGAAACAGGCTGAGCTTTGGTCAGTACGAAAGAGGGGCTTTCTAAGGAACCTTCCTGTGTACACAGAACAGTGACTTTAGGGAACCCCAAGAGCTTTCTTTGCTTTATTCCACCTGGAACAGTAAATGTTTTCTGTGAATTGTCACCATCTTTGTTAGGTTTGGCATAAACCTCATTATAGGGAAATGTATCTAGACAAATTTGTCCTTAATTCCTGTGTTGATGTTAAAATTACACAGATGGTCCTTTGGTCCCTCCACCACCACCCACTCTGTTCTTTTCCTTTCTGCAGGGAAAACCTTGGGGGCTGGCGCCTTTGGGAAGGTTGTTGAGGCCACCGCTTATGGCTTAATTAAGTCGGATGCAGCCATGACTGTTGCTGTGAAGATGCTCAAACGTAAGTTTCCACAGGCTACTGCAAGCGCTCAACATCAAGTTTGCCAAAAACGTTTATTTTTGCTAACCTAAGATCTTTCTAATTTTAGCAAGTGCCCATTTAACAGAACGAGAAGCCCTAATGTCTGAACTCAAAGTCTTGAGTTACCTCGGTAACCATATGAATATTGTGAATCTTCTTGGAGCATGCACCATTGGAGGTAAAGCCACGACCGACAAATTATCAAAAGGGGGGAAATTTTGAGATGATTTTGACAGTGCCCGACTAATAACTTCCTTGCAAGATTTTTACGCAGGTCGTTGTTACTTCTTGGTAGAATCCCACCCCCTGCCCCACTCCAATTATTGTTCTGCAGAATGAATATTTTAGTTTTATCATCAGTGGGTGGGACAGCCCAGGATATACCTTAGCTACTGTGGTGCACATCTCACCGACACCATCAACCTCCTGAATAACACGAGAATATCTTACCTGCCCAGAAAACTTTTCTTTTTATCTCGCAGGCTTTATATTTTGCTGGATTATGTTTAGGCACTAAAGGGTTAATAGTCATTTGCATACCATAATTAAAAGTAGGCCTTTAAGCCTCCCGGCTCTCGAATATACATCAAATGAGGCAAACGCTTCACTTTTGTTAAAAATAAATTTCTAATCCTGAAGCATCTGTTGAGCCTCCCATCAGGGATTTCGTTTTGGTCTAAAGGAACAAAGCTGCGTGAAAGGAGCTGTTCCCCGAGATCTGGAGAGCTCCACGGTCAAGTTGACAACTTTATATAATTTCTTAAAACAGTCCCCATAAACGTCACTTCACCACATCATGAATAGTTCATGAGAAATTTCTGCCCAAGTTAATTAGGTGCCTGTTAACTTCAGAGCCGCAGTTTCAGGCATTCACAACACCAAGAAAATGTTTGACTTAGTGTTCAGAACACAGGTGATGCCCTGTCATTTCAGGTTCTCCCATTTTCTAATGGGTCTCCGCCAGCTTTTCCATGAGGTTGGTTTTCCTTTTTGCATGTGCCCTTGTTTCCATAATAATACCAAGAGGGTATGAGCTCCACTCTGTGTGAGCAGAAGTGAATCAAAGGATTCATGTAGGAAGTTTGATAATAGCATAACCAGCAGTCATACCTGGCCCCTGACCACTCAGAAATTTAGGTAAAAGGAGGCTTGCATATTTGGTTTTATCCACATAAAGCTACTTTTTGATAAGCAGTTAATAGATACGATTGTGTTGGTACCCAGTAGGCTTATCCTCTGAAACTGACTGCTACTGGCCTGGATCGCCCCAGGGCATTTTTATGAGAGGCGGGATTTGTCTATGTACCTCAACTCTTTCTAACCTTTTTGCATATGCTTGTAGGGCCCACCCTGGTCATTACAGAGTATTGTTGCTATGGTGATCTTTTGAATTTTTTGAGGAGAAAACGTGATTCATTTATTTGCTCAAAGCAAGAAGATCACGCAGAAGCAGCACTTTATAAGAACCTTCTGCATTCAAAGGAGCCTTCCTGGTAAGACTGATTTACATCAATAGTCAGCTGTTGACAGGCAGTTCTGGGGTCACAAGGGTTTGCAATCAAGACTGATTCTTTAAAAAAATGAACTGAGGTACTTTGAGGTGCAAAATCAGAATTATTAAATCATTTAAATGTGATGAACAGTTTGCAGAGTTCCAATAGTGTTTTTAAAGATTCAGGTAGTGTTAAACTTAGATTTTTGCTGGTTTTTTAAATGCAGCCTTAGTTTTTTCCTAAGCTTTTGTTCTGTCCACCTGAATGAAGTGTCCAGCTGTTTCCCTCGTCACGGTTCTGCCCTCGCGTGTCACTCCACTGTACTGTGGAGCCGGTGCTATGTGCGTCTTTCCAGTGAGACACTGTGTACGGGGAAAATGCAAAAGCTTGTCAAGTTGTCACAATAAATTCCTTGAAAACTTTTAACAGAATGGCAGAATACTCTGAATATAACTCTGCATGTAGGTTTCTCACCATCTCTCTCTAAATTATTTCTATGTACTTTACCCTTAAAAAAACTCATTATGCTATAAAAAGGCACAACTACTGTAGCACATTTAAAGAAATTCTGCACCTTATTTTCATCTCTTTCATCACTGATAGCATTCTGAATTTAAATGATATGTAAAGAGCTTCAAGTTCCTTTAAGGAGAATTAGTGTGGTTTACAACTAGAATAGAAATCTTCTCTGCCTGCCTTGCCCCCTTTTTCCAAATGTTGTGAAGATCCACCACTAAAGCAACTCTCCTAGATTCACTCAGCCCAACAGAAATCATACCTCTCGTGCCCCATCCCTTAGACTTTATATTTTCTGTAGTTGTGTGATGGGTTTTGTCTCTTCTTTTTATTCACCGTGTTCCCTACGTTTTGAGATAGCAAGACTTGGTCTCCTAATCTTTTCACTGCAGGCCCTTAAGGAAACCTCAGTAAAGTGTTATTGATGGGCAGTTACCTCTTAAAAACCTTTTCTGTACCTCTGGCTAAAGTTTTAAACCCCAGGTGAAGCTTTTTAATTTTTTTAACCCTGTAAACTTGAGTATTGTCAAGTAGTAGTAAAACACACTAGCAACCACCTTTTGTTAGTTTCTCCAGAGCATATGCTCTTTATATGAATAAATGAGCCACTTTGCCTTATTTCTAAAGCCTTGGTCTCATATGTATTTTTTAACTCTGAAATAATGGCCTAAATTGTTCAGTCCTGTGTGGTGTTCTTTGTGCTTTGGGATCCCATATGGGACTGGAACCATCCACATGCTCTGAAGGAGATAGTTGTCATGGTGTTTCTATGCTAATCACAAGCAGGAAGTACTAGAAATCTTGAAGACTCTCCAGCCAAATGTTGCAGATTCAAGAGGTCCAGATGGTTCAGAAAATCATCCAAATTATTGGTGTTCATCTGAACCAAACTTGTTTTTTTTAAACCATCTTCCGTCAGTTGCTGTATGTTAATGGTCTCTGTCTTCTCCCCCATTACACATCTCAGAAACTCTGCTTCTTTGTCTCTTTCATCTTGTCTCTTGGGGCTAATTCAGAGAGAGTTTGAAGTAATACGGGATAATGCTTTTGGGCTCTGTTTTCCATTAAATCTCTAGTGTCCAGAGATGGAACATTTCTAATGTGAGTCTCGTGTATGATTGAGCACAGAAAACCCCATCTCGTTCTTGGGGATGGGGCCCAAAGGTTGAATGTTAAAAACTCATCTCTGACTAAAGAAGATTTTCTGCATTCAAACTTGGCAATATTTTTATTGACTAAAATCAGCCTATTATGTAAAGAGGGAGGGGGAGATAGAGCCTGCCCCATGGGTGCTCCCCCATTTCCCATTCTGTTCATTCATGATCTGATATGTGTTTTCTCTCTTGCAGTAACGATAGCACCAATGAGTACATGGACATGAAACCCGGAGTTTCTTATGTTGTACCGACCAAGGCAGACAAAAGGAGATCAGCGAGAATAGGTGGGTACCTGTCAAGTGATAAAACCCACTTTATTTACAGAGGATTTCTCATACCACCATGGAATATAACAACATTCCTAGTAGTGACCAGCTCTCCTTTATAGTGGCATCCAATGACAATGCCAATAGTGGTCAGTGGCAGTCGACGGTTACCAGGGGGTGTTTAGTGTCAAAGCATGGGTTATTGTGTCTAAGCATCTTATTGCATCTGTGAAAATACATGCATATCAAATATGTATTTTGCACATTGTATTATTTCAAATAAATATTTTATATATCAAAAATAGGAGGTTGTTATAATAATCCACCATCCTTCTCCTGTAAAGGTTTTGTAACCTACTCCAGGATTGTGAATATGACTTTGTGATTCAACATCTACCTGTCCTGAACACTGGGGGAGGTCACTGGCCTGCCAGTTCACATCAGTTACCAGCCTTTGGTCTTACTGATGTCACTTACTGTCTTTTGTTTTCCTTGCCGTTAAGGTGTTAATTGATAACAAAATCCTTCTCCTCTCCACAGGCTCATACATAGAAAGAGATGTGACTCCCGCCATCATGGAGGATGACGAGTTGGCCCTGGACCTGGAAGACTTGTTGAGCTTTTCTTACCAGGTGGCAAAGGGTATGGCCTTCCTGGCCTCGAAGAACGTAAGTGGGAGTGGTTTTCGGAGGAATCTTTCTTCCCAGAATGGAGCATTTCAGAGCCATAGTTAGAATGCAGAGCGTCGTTCTGACGTGCGGTAACCAAAAGCAAAGGAAGTTTAGTTTCTTCATGTTCCAACTGCTGTCTCGTTGGAATTCCTGTTCTCATGTATAAGCTTTAAAGTGTAATCCTGTCTAAATGAGCTTTCTATGAGTACTTTTATATGCAATGAATTCATTTAAACCTTTTGGCTTTTAGGATACCGAAGCTGTTAGAAAATAAGTAATTATTTTATCAGTGAAAGGAAAGGGCACCTCATGGAGCTGCAGCACGTGGGGAGGCATATACTTGGGTTTTCTTAAAATTAGGCTACTCGTATTGCATGTGTGGTATATAAAGTGTTGGGGGAAGAAGGGATCAGAGAGAATAATAAACATTTGGGGAAAGAATGAGGATAGGAAGAGAACGATGGGACCAAAACAAGGAACATGGTGTCTGGCAGGGTAAGAGGAATTCCTGAGGAAGTGGGATGGACAGAATAGGATAAGGTCACAGATCCGACTCTGATGTGTCACTGGTGCCATTTCCGAACAATTACGTACTAAAAGAGGATATAGGATGGCTGAAATAAAGAGCCTCTTCCCTGTGTCCTTGGGAGGTGTCAAGTTGAAGTTACAAAGACCTTTTAGAAATTCTATAAAAGGACACTCCCAGAGAAGCATGCGAAATGAGTTTTTGGTGTAAAAAATATGATATGACTATTTAACGTGTTTTCCTATGAATGAAAGCAGTCCCAAGAAAGCATCTATTCAAGTTAGTTTTGGAAAGTGATTATAGTAATTAAGGTCCTAACAATGTGAAACACAAATTTTGAGCATCATTCAAGGCATAATTTAGATACTTCTTTTTGGTGTACCAAATAATTGAAATGGGAAGCAGAAGTATTGGATTTGTATAACAGAAGCAGCACTGTAGCATTGAACATAGCTTTCACCCTTTAAAGGTTTAAAATAAATTTAAATGGCTTTCCCCTCCCCTCTCTTCTGATACAGTGTATTCACAGAGACTTAGCAGCCAGAAACATCCTCCTTACTCATGGTCGAATTACAAAGATTTGTGATTTTGGCCTAGCCAGAGACATCAAGAATGACTCTAATTATGTGGTCAAAGGAAACGTGAGTACCTTGACAGTCCAGTGAAGGGTTTTAGTTTCCAGTTTTCATATGAATTGTTTTTTTATGATTTTCATAATGCAAATCCTACCTTTGAGATACCATGTACTTTAGCAGTCAAATTAAGTGTACTTTTGCAACATTTGCATGCTATGCTGAACATTACTACAACTAACATTCTGATAATAGAATTCCCCATTCTAATTGTGTAATTATGGGGCATGTGAAGGAAATAGAAATAGCCTTAGTTTTCATTATAGCCTCCAAATAGCAATGAACTCGATTTTGCTCCAGTGAAACAAATGTGAACCTGAAGGTCAGAGCAGGAGAATTTTATTTTGAGATTGACATGCCCTGTGAAAAAGATTAAAATCTAAGATAATGTTCAGAATTAAGTATAGAGAATGTTGGATCTTATAATCAATAAACAGCATATTAAATCAATTCATAAGTTATAATTGGTTTATAGAGCTTAGTGATTTTATTCTAAAGTGCTTTACTTCCTTGCCAGTTTTCATTGTATCACAAGCCCTTGGCATTTTAATGCAGTGTCTTCACATTTGAAGAGTTATGGTATATTTCAGTGATGTTTGTCTGGGGTGACCCAGGTTGTAGAGGTTGGTAGAGCCCATGATTTCCAGCACAGCGTCCCATTAACATGGAAGTCATGTAGTCCTGTACACATAGTCTTCTACATCAGTTTTCCCAGACCCATTTCTATAGTCCAGATTTAGTCCTGGACCATAGAAAAGGAAGCTGTTTGCATCCTTTATGATAAGGTAATAATTTCTTCTTTGTCACTTTATGGGTTGGCTGTATTTGACTCAGGTTTATAGAAACATCGCCAGGTTTACTTCCTGATCAAAGCATGCATTGCTTTGAGACTAGATTTTATCATTAGAACCATTAATAAAATGATGTTCTTTATGTCCTGATGTGCTGTTAGAAGGAGGAATGTGAGATGGTTTTTAGGCCTCTGAGAAGTGTCAAAACCACAAAAGGAAGAAGGTAGCAGCTTCTGGACCCGGTCTCCCCAAGGTCGAATCTGGCTCCATCATGTAGCGGCTGTGTCATATTTGGCAAGAATTACCCAGCACTTCTGAATGTTGGTTTTTTCCTCTCGGGAATAGTACTGTCAGTTTCCTCATAAAGCTGTAATGAGGACTGAGTCAATTAATATATGCAAAGTGCTCAGAATAGAGGCAGGCACAGTGTAGTTAATACTTACATGGCACTCTTTTTGGTTACTATTTTTTATAGCTGTCTTATTTGAAATATCAGTAATCATGACAATGGTTATAAGTTCATTGATAGCCTATTACTGCTTAGTGACCTTAGCTGGAATTGCCAAGGATGGGTTAGTTCCCACTAGGCTTCCGTATTATGGACTCCAGCTCAAGTCAGCTGAACTAACCGATCTCAGATGTCCCTTTCACCAGGGAACGAGTAAGGAACATGTATGGACAAGTTAAAACAGCACGGAGAGGCACGTAGTTGGTTACCACCCCCAAATGTACAGCATAGCCACTTGTGATCTCTTTGTTGGGTCAGTTTCTCTGGAAGTCCTTTCATCATTACATAGGTTCTTAGTCATTTTTGTGCCAGGGTCTCTCTGTCTTAGAGTGGCAAATCCTGTGGCTCTTCTGTAAGAACACTGTTTTAAATGTCCAAAATAAAATAAGTAGTATAACCAGGGAGCCAGTGAAGCAGAAATACAGTTATCAAAATATTCGAGAATAAATTTGTGATGCGACAGTCCATGTGCCCGGTTGCACAGAGTTCTCTATTGCAGCCACAGGTCTGCAAGCGGCTCTCACTTTGAAGTGATGGTGAGTGCAGGCACGGGACGAGGGCAGCTGCGATTGCGATCGGTGACAGAGTTACAGGTCCTGCTCTGGCTGCTGTGCTTTATTGCCTTCATTCAGAATTTAAGGAAATACTAAACTTTGCTTAGAAGTTAGTGTGCACTGAAATATCTTTTCTTCCCTTCCAAGTTCACAGGCACCTGAATTCAAGATCTCAGGTTAAGAGCCCCTACAGCAGCGTTAGCACAAAATCTCAGGGTCAGGGAGGATATTGGAAAGATTTTTTTCCTTTGGACTAAAATAACTTTAAAGACTAGAAAAATATGCCTTAGTTTTCCATTCTAAATGGATTAAGAGAAGGATTGATTTAGTTTTCTATGGTCCATTAAGATCCAGGAATCCAGAATGTCTTTAAGAGGAATAGTCATGGAAAGTTTGGCTCGATTTTAGCAGAAAGGATTCAGACGTGCGGTTCGGCTGTTGACTGTAAGCCCTGAATCTGCCCCTCACCTTCTTGGACTAGTCACGGCCTTCACACACCGCTGCTCTGTGCTGAGTGCTGGCTAATGCAACGGACCAGGTGTTGGTCCATTGGCGGGACTGTGCGCAGCATGTTGACCTGCATTATCATCATTTAACCCACAGAACAACTCATGAAATTTGAAGTACTAATTTTGTTTTATAGAAGAAGATAGAGAGGCTTAGTTACAGATATTTAAGGACTTTCCCAATGTGTTACTTGGGGAGAGTTTTGCTTGTATACAACAGAAAATCCAAAAGAAAAGAAAAAAGTATAGGAGCAGCAGGCCAGGCCTGTTACAGAGGCGCCACGAAGTACCGGCAAACCAAATCCTCCCTCTCTCCGTGTTCTACCATCCCTGGGTGAAGTCCTAATCCTCGTGGTTCACGATGGCCACTGCTGGGAGACCACCACATCCAGAAGGCAGGGTACAGGACGAGACAAGAAGGGAGAGGACAAAGGCACATGCCAACTGTATTTTAAGGAGGTTTTCCTGAAGCTTCCCTACAACACTTATAACTATAACTTACTGGCCAAAACTGAGTCCCATGACTATACCTCGCTGCAAAGGGGCTGGGAAATGCAGTTCTTATTGTCATAAGCCAAGTTTCTAGCATGAAGGGAAATAGGGAAAACACACTCATTGGTCACTGACAAATCCGAGGTGCTCAAGACCAGTGGCAGAGTCAGAATTAGGACCCGTGTCTGTCTGCCTCTGATGCCTGTGCTGTAGTGACTCAGTGCCCCCATCTTGAAAATAAGGATGGCATTCTTGTGAGCTGCCTGTTTCAGAGGTAGATGGGATTCACCGGAAGTTATATAGATAAAAGGCTTCTGTGAGAGGACAGGTAGGTCCTCGCCCCCACCTCTCAGCAGGAGGTAGGAACATATTGTACTCAGTTTTCTGGAGGTTCTGAATTTGCACTGTGCTTCCATTACAGGCTCGGCTGCCTGTGAAGTGGATGGCACCTGAAAGCATATTCAACTGTGTGTACACATTTGAAAGTGACGTCTGGTCCTATGGGATTTTTCTGTGGGAGCTGTTCTCTTTAGGTAAAGTGATCCTTGCCACAGGCACCTTCATAGGCTCAGAGCACCTTCTTAAGGTTTTATCAGCATCCTGCTTTCTTAGGAGTAACACTGATCTGCAAACCATTTGTGCCTCAGGAAGCAGCCCCTACCCTGGAATGCCGGTCGATTCTAAGTTCTACAAGATGATCAAGGAAGGTTTCCGAATGCTGAGCCCTGAGCACGCACCTGCTGAAATGTAAGGGCCAAGATGTTTTCCTTCAGTTTATGTTTCCCCTTTTATTTTTCTTTTTAAAGACAGAAGCCCAGATGTTGAGGGTTTTCAAGTGGGCCAGTTTGAAATGTCACCTGGTTCCTGTTTAAGACCCTAGTCAAATGTCATTTCTGTAGTTTATTTTCCTCCTCTCTTGTCACCAAATACACAAAGGGTTTCGGCAGCATTTTATATGTAGAGTGTGTGCCATTCAGAATGTCCAGGTGCCTAGCCCTGGTGTTATTTTTGGAGTGATTGCTTGGTGTACACCTGAAGACGGGTGACAGGCATTGAGGGGTGATGGGACACGGCCCTCGTTTTGCAGGTATGACATAATGAAGACTTGCTGGGATGCCGACCCCCTAAAGAGGCCGACATTCAAGCAGATCGTCCAGCTGATTGAGAAGCAGATTTCGGAGAGCAGCAATCATGTGAGTACACTCTGGTCCCACCCAGGGTCTCCCTTCTTTCTGTCTCTGGTGTGTGAAGAGAATGGAGGGCTTTACACTCAGAAGTGAGGAAGTAGAAGTTTCCATAAGGATTTACCATGTTTCCTCCCCCACCCCATGTGCTGGTCATGAGGTCGGCGTGGACGCTCTGTCACATGTCAGGGCCATTCGGCCTTTGGAAGGTTGGGGTGATATGAACTAGAATAAAAGCATAAAAAGACAGCCTGTTACTGCAGTGAAATAAGCCTTCTGCTCAAACAAGCATAGCCAGAAAATGGCAGAGAGCTGTCATGCCCACAAGCCACACAGAATGAAGAGCTGTTTGAAGTTGTGAGATCCCTCCCGGTGATTGGAGGAGGGAGGAATTCAAAACCCAAATCCATTCTTTCTTCCTCTTTTAAGGAAGATAGATCTTTACTTTGACTCAGATTTTTTAAGTTGCTTTTTTTCTGGATTGTGTGCTTGAAGCTCTTTTCTAAGCATTATACCCCTGGTACTTCAGGGTTATGGTTTGCTCTTCTGGGTGTCAAAGCGTATTTCAAATGAAACAGCATTTTCCATCCAAGTGCTTGATTCTCAGTGGAAGACCCATGGAAGGGCCACAGATTTCCCAGCAAATTACATGGGCTGTTGGGTTGTAGTTAGCTGCCTAGATTTATAAACTTTTAAAATATATTAGGTGGTGCTTGTTCCTAGAAGTGTCCTAGCAGAAAAGCAGGGTTTTTTTTGTTGTTGTTGTTTTTGCCAGCACTTCCCATGTAATGGGGCCTTGGGGAAAATGAGGGGTAAAGCAAAACTCACATTTTCTTTTGTCATATGATTTGGTTTGGGGCTGTGAAGGTCTCTGTTTAATAGTCTTCCTCAAGTTATTTGCGATTCTGAAGCTGCGAATGTGCTCCATTTGCTGCTGTGCTCAGTGGAGGGGCTAGTGTATTAACTGTGGACTCGTTTTCCTCAGATTTATTCCAACTTAGCAAACTGGAGCCCCAACCAGGAGAACGTGGTGGTGGACCATTCTGTGCGGATCAATTCCGTGGGCAGCAGCGCCTCATCCACCCAGCCTCTGCTTGTTCACGAAGACGTCTGAAGCAGAACACGTGTGAGGGGTCTCCCCAGCACAGCGATCCCCGTTCTTCTGGTTTCTATGACTATTTTTTTCGACTAGCATCCTACTCCAGGATAATGGACACCCCCCCTGTAATCCCGTCTTTATGAGCACACTTTAGTGGCTGATGGTTTTTGTCATCAGCCCCCACCCCTTTGCCAGGGTTCAAACTGCATATATTCTCAATAGCAGAGTAGCTGCTGGTAATGAAACATAATTCTGAGTTGGAGAAAGGGAGACTGGGATAGACCATAGACACCTTGAGCCCTTTCTGAGCCTTCTCTATTTCTGTTTGAAAAGTGTGGTTGATAGTTTATTTGAATAAATGGCAGTAGTCACCTTCGGCCCTCGTAACCATCCATAATGATGTGATGGTGTAGCAAGATTAGACGCTGAAAGCTAAGCCCTTGATGTGGAAAATAGAATGTTATTAGGACAAAGGTCAGGAGTCTATGAATATCTGAGCTTAAGAACTCTATTTCATGCTGGGAATGAGACATAGACCATGAAAAACTGCTGCTCCCCGAGCATGAATGAAGACTAGCCACTGAGCATGAGCCTTTGTGCTACTGACCTGCTTTCTCATCAGTTTGTTGTTGGGGAGTGAAGTGGAGACAGGTCCTCCCCAGCCTGCATCTGTATATACCCATCCTGCAGTGTATGTGTTCATGTGTCTGAGGGGGGAAACCCACAAGGTGTCGTTTCTGGATACAACTCAGGCTCAAGTCTGCTGTATGTAGGAATAGATGAAGAGCCAGGCAAGTTTGAAGGACATAGTTAGTGCTGAGAGGGAGAGAGAGAACATAATTGTCAAGTACAGTTTTAACAAAAGTCTCCTCTTGTCGCCAATGAACTTGCTCATAGATTGTCCAGAACAAGCCTACTAGCTTCACAATGACATTGTGTTCAATAGATTTGATACCATTTGAAAAGATCTACTGCATGGCTCTGGCAGGAGTGAGAAAACAGTGCTGTCTTAGTTTGGAGCAGGAAATAAAATTGAGATTCAGCCTCCTTTGCAGGCATGTCCTGGACACTGGGCCAGTATCTATGTGTGTGTATGTGTGCACGTGTGTGTATGCCTATAGAGAAATCTTTTCGGGGGGCATTCTTGCCCTGAGACCACGAGGGTCCTTCAGTACCCAAAAAGTAGCTTGGCTTTCGCTATTCATGCTGCTCTTGATTCCCTTCACGTAGCTGTCCCAAGAAGCTTACCCAAAGCTTACATAGAGGCGTGTAGGACATGCAGTGCCTAAGGACTTATTTATTTGCAATCCACCTGCACTTAAGGCACTCGGTTATTTATACTCAGCATACTGTACTCGTTCCTTAGACCTTACTAATGCTACTCTCCCACTGAAACGTATTTAAATTGTACCCTTTAGGTTGTAGCCTGGATATTATTCTTAGAGTTTACCTTCTTTGTCATCACTGCCAAACTATAAGAGGTCCCTGTGTACATGGCAAGGTCTGTGTGTTGTCTTGCAAGATTCAGGTATGCCGCCTTCACGGTTTCCCCTCCCAGGTCCCTTAGATGACATTTAGAGAACTGTGGCCATTTATCTGGAAGTAACCATTTGCACTGGAGTTCTATGCTCTCGCACCTTTCCAAAGGTAACAGGTTTTGGGGCTTTTTTTTTTTTGGTCAACAAAAGAGATTGTCACTGTTTGCCATACTTTGAAAAATTTTTTTGCGTTTCTGTTGACTTTGATTAGAGTAAGAAAAGTGATCGTTAACTGTAGATGTCTAGGTACTTCAGGGGCACTTCACTGAGAGTTTTGTCTTGGGTATTCTTGAAAGTTTATATTTTTATAATTTTTTTTTTACATCAGATGTTTCTTTGCAGTGGCTTAATGTTTGAAATTATTTTGTGGCTTTTTTTGTAAATATTGAAATGTAGCAATAATGTCTTTTGAATATCCCCAAGCCCATGAGTCCTTGAAAATATTTTTTATATATACAGTAACTTTATGTGTAAATATGGAAGCAGTGCAAGTTTAACGAATGTCGGTGTTCCATGTGTGTTTTTCCTGATATGTTGTCCACTTGTTGACAGTTCTGAAGAATTCTAATAAAAATGTAAATATATAAATCAAGTGGGTCTTTTGATTATTTTAAGCTTAGTGACATTACACATTAAGGTGGCAAGGTGCATTCACCTGGACACTAGGAAGTTTTGTACCCGGTGTTCATAAGATCCAACAAGACTCAATCCACTGTTACACACTTGAAAATTCAACAGACATTTAGGATGTGCTATATATTCTCTTATATTATTTTTATAATTCATTGTCTCCATTTAAATAGAAAAATAAATAGAGAAAACACTTTGGGAATTCAACACATTACGATGATGATTATTAGGTTGACTCGTGGAATGACCATTTTTGTGGGGAAAATAATGGTCAAATAGCAGCAGTTTTATATGGTTCCATCCAATATAACTGGTATGGTTCCTCCTAAAAGAGATCGTCTAAAAATTAGCATAACAGTAAACTAATTTGCGAGATTGACATGGAGAGTCTCCCAAGAAAGTGGTTCGTGTTCTTGTTGGCTTCGGTTTTGAAGAGAGGTTAGTTGATCTTCAGATGTCCATGCTCCACCTTTCAGTCCTTACACTCACTTGCTTCTGGAACTGAGTTAAGTCCTATCACACACTTGGAAGGAAGTGATTGTTAGTTCAGGGCTGTCTTGTTGCTGGAGCATCCTTTGTGATCAGGAGACACTGTCCAGACCAGTGGATCCTGCACGGTACCTGGGAAGCCTTCCAGCTTGAAGCCAAGAGCTGTCCTGAGCCACGTTACCCTGTTAAGAGTGAACACAACACCGTCCATCTTGATTTCCTTTATCAGCGTGGCATCTGCACCTGTAGATGTATCTACTGAAAGGAAAGGGGAGGGTGAAAGGCGACCCGTAATGAAGAAGAATCATTGAAAATCAGGCGGAACGTGGGTGGCCAGGAACACATTAGTGAAAAATGGACTCACATTTCAGGCGATTTTCATTATTTTAGATAAGAATGAACGCTAAGGGATCACAAAACAAGTAATTTCTGAATGTTTTCAAGTGTCATTTGGACCTTTTCATGCACATGATATCTTGAGTTAGAAGCAGTCAGCAGCCTTTACATTACTTGTATGTGGCTACGTCCCCCTCACTGCCCCAGCTTTTAATAGCAAAGTATATCAGGTGTGTGGTGTGCAAGCTCAGACCGGGGTCCCATCTTTTTGCCAGCCCTCTCTCTGTCACTGCTGCTGGGTGACCTTGGGCAGATAAGCTCTTGAAATCTCAATGCTCATCATAGTAGTGTCTACTTTGATGTACTAATATGAGGCTGTCAAGATCGCCTTGTTCATACATGTAATACACAAACAGTGCTCCAAAATGGCAACTGTTATCATGGCTAATTAGTCTTATTAGGAAGGAATAAGATGCTTCTGTACCAGCATAACTCAGTTGTCACCCCACGAAGAACTATACAATTAAATTTGCATCTTGTGTTTTGAAATGTAAATGATACTGTGCTGGTTTGCTATGGCACTTGACTCTGTTTCAGAGATTTCTGCTTTATTAGAATCCCAGCGTTTTAGCTAGGAATTGGAGGCTCTCTGCTCTTGTCCCAGTCTTTCTTCTGGGTGTTTTTTCCCACTGCCATAGGCTCATGAATGTGCCCCACTCACCTGATTCCGTCCTCAGACTCCAGTGTCCTCTCCCAACAGGCCCACCTTTCTAGGCCACGGACAGTTGGTGTGTGTCCTCAAGGCACGTCACACTTCCATCACTCTTAACAATCTTTTCTGCCTTGTGCTGTAATTAGTGGGGTTCTGGTCTTACCTCCTCACTCGCTCCACTATATCCAGACTTAAAAATCAATCAACCTAAAATACCTATCTGTTCCAGAGCCATTGGTTTTATTATTACTTACTTGTTAAAATATTAACTATCGAGAGACTCTGAGGTGCAATCGTTCTAAGGTTGCAAGAGGTTTCAACTTGCTCAAGTTCACTTAGTAATACGTGGAGCCAGAATCTGAATCTAGATCTGAGTCTCTCTCTTCAGCGATGGCAAATCTGTGGCATTCCCAGGCTGGCATCTCCACTCCTTTGCCCTTGGAGACATCACTCATGTCTCAGCACTCTGTCCCTGGAGCCATGGTGCCTTAAAGTCTAAACCTTCAGGAAGCCTGGATAAGTCAACTGGAGTTAGTCTAAGGACAAACTCACCTGTCACCTACCTTTAAATGATTACCAAGTTTCATTGTCTTGAGACACAGGTGTTCTCCATCTCAGATGCTCCTGAGGCTGCTAGCACAGTGCTTCACACGTGGTTAATTAATATACTTTGAATAATTAAACATTCCTTCAGCATGGAGTAAGGGAAAGTCATCTGGGAGGAAATGGATCCAGAAAAGCCTGGAAATAAAGAAAACACAGCTTTTCCTCCAGTCTGGGGCTATGAAGGCCACTTCATTTCACACTGGGGCGAGGCTTTGGGGAGAAGGGAAAGAAAGGGGAACTGGGAAAGTGTTGGGCAGCCTTACCAGGCCTGCACAGCTGCTTCGTGGGAAAGAGAAGTGAAGGAGGACTGGGTGCATGGGGAAGGGTGGAGAGGAAGGGAAAGTGGCAGTAACTCTCTTCCTTATTTAGGAGGTGGGGAAGGCATTGAAGTCAGTTACCAAGGACAAGACCCTGGGCTAGAAATACAGAAGCTGAAGACTGAGGATACGTCCCTACCCAAGGTTTGACCCTGGGAGAGGGTCATCAGGGTCAGTGTCTCCATGGGAAACACCCCCAGGAAAGGGCTTGGTGTCAGTTGAGAAAACTTCCTTTGAGTTAATTTTTGTAAAGTACTGTAATTTACCATGTATAATGCACACCCTTTGCCCAAAATTTTGAGGGAAAAATAAAGACGCACATTACACATAGATGTGATGATTATACACTATGGGTATAATCCATGTATAATGTGCACAAAAACATGGGTGTGCATTAGACACAGCAAAATAGGGCCACGAATTGAGTGGCTTAAAAACAGACTTATTGTCTCACAGTTCTGGAGGCTAGAAGTCCAAGATCAGGGTGTTGGCAGGGTTGCTGCCTCCTGAGGGTTTGAGAGAATCTGCCTCACCTCCTAGCTTCTGGTGATTTTCTGGTGATCTATGGTGTTCTTTCCCTTACAGATCTCTGCCTTCTTCACATGGGGTTCTTCCTCAGTGCATGCATCTCTGTCCAAATTCTCCCTCTTGATATAAAAACACCTGTCATATTGGATTAGAGGCCTACCCTGTTCCAGTATGACCTCATCTTAGCTAATTATATCTGCTATGACCTTATTCCCAAATAAGCTCTCTGAAGTCCTAGGGGTTACAGTTAGGACTTCAACATACAAATTTGATGGGACACCATTTATTTAATCTATAATAGAAAGACTTCAAAACCCTCTGTATTGTAGCAGGTGGCCTGGTCTTCAATGGAATACTGAAATTGACTCTCTGAAAACTCTTAAGAAACTACAGAAGTGATTGCTAAAGTGTCCATTTCAGAGCACTCCTCTCAATGGTTATCTAAAACAGAAGCAGACACTCAATACTTACCAAAGGAATGAAACTTCCTGCAGGGAGGGACCCCTCCTCCTCGGAACTTGCCTCCTGGCCTGCCCTGTCTCCTCATCTCTCAGTTTTCCTCATCAGCCCTTGAAAGGTCAGAATTCCAGCTCTGGCCCTTCATTGTCTTCTTTCATCTGACACGCTCCCACTAAACTCTGATCTATCTCCTCTAATCCCTGGGATGTGGCTGCCATTTACCCACTGGCAAATTTCATCTACATCTTTGATCCCTCTCCCCTGATAGAGAGTGGGTGTGCCAGATGAAATAAGAAACCCAGTAAATGTCACATGCAATGTTTAGAGAATACAGATTCTAACAATTTGTTGTTTATCTGAAATTGAAATTTAAGTGGGCATCCTTGATAAATCTAACAACCCTTGATCTGATCTTGGGCCTCTTGAAGTTAGGACCGAAACTAATCATTGAATAGTCAAAGTTGCAGTGACTGTGAGGAATGGGGAAGAACTTAGTTTTAGTGCAAGTCTGTAGGTGGCAAATCTCAGATTTGCTTTCTAAGTTATTTCACTTTTATTCTTGAAAAATATTTTCACTCTACATAGAAATCACGGATAGCAATTATACTTTTCAGCACATTTATTTCCACTGTCCTCTGGTTTCTATTGTTGCTGTTGGAAAGTTAGATCAGTCTGTTCTTTTGAAGACAGTTATTCATGTTTTTTTCTTTATTGATTTCTGACTTTGTTTTCTGGTTTTTGTAGTTTCTATAATATATGTAAGCGTGAAGTTCTATTTGTCTCTGTTTGTGGTCCCTTGGACCTTTTGAATTTAGGGATTGGTGTCTTTCATCAACATTCTGAAATCCTCAGCCCTTTGAAGTTACCTCTGTTCATCCTGCTTTCTCTTCTGCTGGGACTCCAGTTCAGTGCATCCTGGAGCCTCTCACTCTATCCTCCATGTCTCTTAATCTGCCTTCCATATTTTCATTCTTTCTGTCTTTCTATGCTACATGCAAAGTGATTCCCCTTCAGCTCCTGTCCATGGGGAATATTTTTAGCATCATTGTTGAGGTGTAATTAACATACCATAAAATCCATTTTTAAGTGTATAAAGCAGTGATTTATATATTGTATAGAATTTTGCAGCCACAATGCAATTTTACAGCATTGCTATGATCCCCAAAGTTTCCCTCCTTCCTCTTCGCAGTGAATAGCCATTCCAATGATTTTAACAAACTACTTTCCAGTTATTCTTGCCTTGTAAGAAGACACCACATATTCCACTCTCTTAGAACATGCACTCATTCATTGAGCCATTTCTTTTCTCTGGGATCTTTCTAAATGTTGTGGTCCTAGAAATGACAATAGGTAGGGTGTCTCATTTGAATAATTATCAGTGATAATTACAATGGTGATATGATGATGATAATAGCTAACATTTATTAAATGCCTACTATGTACCTGGATTTATTATATTAGATGTTTACACATATTACTTTATTTAAGCCTCACAGTAACACTGGGAGGGAGATA